GAGAAGGAAGTGGTCATTCCAAGTTGACTCACCCTTTGGTGAGCCACTGGAGGGTAAAATGTAGAGGAGGAAGTGGCCATTCCATCTTGACGACCCTTTTAAGTGAGCAAACATGCGGGAAAGGGCGTGTGTGCGCACTTGAGTCTCCCCGATGGACTGTGTGCGCGCATGAGTCAAATCTGTGTGCGCAGATGAGGCGCAAGTGCTAACAAAATGTGTGTGCGCAGATGCGTCAAATCTGTGTGCGCAGATGAGCCGCCGCCCCTCCAATAAAGCCCCGCGACAATAACATTCTTCACTAAGCCCCGCGACAATTACATTCTCCACTAAGGCCCCGCGACAATTACATTTTCCAACAAAGCCCCGCGACAATTACATTCGTTAGCATAAAAATAAAAACCCTCAGCATAAAAGTAAGAACCCTCAGCATAAAAAAAATCACCCTTAGGGGAAACAACGCTGAATCGGAAAACGAGGAAGCTAAACCGGCTGCGATAGCGTTATGCAGCACTCCAAAGCGTATGAAAACGATCCCATTGAAGGATATCATTATCCCAACGTTCGTCTCCGTTAGCAAAGCCAAAAGCGAGGAGAGTAAAGAGCACAGAGTAGTTGATGTCAACTTGAGACGACATGATGGGAAGATAGCATATCGGTACCAGTTCGTGCTGTGCGAAGAAGATCACAACCTAGCCGCCCGCGACGAGCAGATGGTAATCGACCTGTACGATATAGGTAAAGAACCCGCATTCATCCTACTGTGTTCAGAGGAATGCAATCACGTCACCCACTTAGCGGCGAAGCACGACTGCACCATCGTCACTGTATCTCAAAGCGATGACCTCACTTCACCATACGGAATTGCACGCGCGCTTGCGGCAGTACGTTCGGAGAAGGATGCAGTAATGTTTGCAGGACCCTGCGCAGGCGGATCAGCATGGTCGAGATACAACGCTAAAGTCAACGACGCGATAGCTAAATCTATAGAGCTTAAGCGAGCACTATACTGGGACCTTTGGGAGCGTTTTGAAGCTGTTATGGTTCGTGTTTTGAGAATCGGAGCCGCCGCACTGTTTGAACTACCAAGATACTGTGCCTACTGGAAAGATCAAAGGGCTCAACATTTGTTGAGTGGCACTGATTGCGACTGTCATGTGTTTGATGGATGTATGTACGGGTTGGGCGCTGAGTTCAACGATTCGCATTCCGACAAGAAACTCATCAAGAAGCCTTGGAAGATTGTATCATGGAATCTCGAGTTTGGCAACCAGCTCAGTAGGACATGTGACAAGAGCCATAGTCATAGAGATTGTGCAGGTAAATACACTAAGACCACTCAATTATATAATAAGAAGATAGTCGGCATCATCCTGAAGACCGTGACCAAGAGAATCGCTGCATTCCAGAAGTCTGGGAAGATGATGCATGCCGTTCCGTGCCTTGTGATTCGAGCCTTGGGTAGTTCCCTCAATGAACGATCAGTGTGTGATGCAACATCAAACGAGACTGTATACACACGTGATGAACATGAGACACAAACATCACACGCACGACGGATCGAACCACATGGCAGTCATGATTATCAGGCATGTTGCGTTTGTTCGTGTGACCACAGCATTGCTTCACCCGTACGCTTCAGCGACGTGGCTATGGCTTCTGTTGGTGGTGTCATGAACTATAGCGGCAACACGAGCGGCTACCCGACTTTCATCATCAAGATCCTCGATGGCCTGGTTGAGATGAAGGAGAATGGGCAGATCACCCTACCTCCAAGGATGTCAAGGAGTACGCATGGGTTGGATGTGGTTGAAGCATGGATTGCCGTCGGCATTCCTCGTGGTTGAAGCATGGATTGCCGTCGGCATTCCTCCGCTCGTCCCGTTATCCATCAACTATGCAATGTCCAGGACAAAATCCGATGACGCCAAATTCTTGACCGCTTCACTGAAGAAGCTAGTGGGCTACATGAACGAGGAAGAGAAGAAAGAGAAAACTGGCGACTTGGCAAGACGATATAAGCTATCCATGACCACCATCAAGGGGCGCTTCGGGAACGATGCGAGTGGGGTTTTCAGCAAACTTTCTCGCTACCTCGTGGAGCCTGAGGAGATTGGGGTGATAGAGACCGTTAGCATAAAAAAAAAAGAACCCACCCAAATCCAGCATAAAAAAAGGAACCGTTAGCATAAAGAAAAGAACTATTCCCCATTGCATCTGTGGAAGGAGTGACGACCCTTTTCTCCACAACATACATTTACTGCATTAACATGGATACATAGCTGTCGATTCAGGGACCTCATCCAATGAGTTCTCAGCTTTGGGTTGGTGATTCCCTTCAAGTCCGACCCGCAGATCTCCACACGCCGCGGTTGACGTTGGTTTGAAGACATTAACATTGACTTCTTGTTTCATGTCTAAGAGGGCATGATTGACGTTTCTTGGAGAATCTGTTTTTCCAATCAGTTTCATCCTCCATAGTTTCCTCCAGTTGGTTGGGCGCGCCAATGAGCAATCTGACATGGAATGGAGGAACTCGAAGGGTCCCTATGTAGCTTCCAACACCCAACCGGACCATTGCAGGCCCCAGATTGGGCCCCCAACGGCCCAGAGCTTGTAAGCGGGCAGTCTGCTCGACGACGACCCGTCAAGAGTGAAAGAGGCGCTTCGAGCTGCGGGAAAGTCTGGTGGGCCCAAATGGACGGGGTTGAAAAAGAAGGGTCCAGGGTCGAAAAAGCATATACAAGGGTTAAAAAAGAATGTGACAGGGTCAAAAAACAATGTTCGAGGGTCAAAAAGAAATGTTGCAGGGTTGAAAAAAGGTTAGGGTTGAAAAAACATGTTTTAGGGTTGAAAAAAAATGTTGCCCGCCATAGAAGCCTTGCTCTCCAACAGCGGAAAACACGAGTTGACATCATCCACATGTCGTGTCGGAAGATGGTCTTGCCAATTTTTCGCCCAACACTTCTGCACCCCAACCCGAATCCAACCCCCCAACCTCCCGAAAAGAACTGGATAGAATGAACATCCCCTAAAACCTAAAACCAGACAGGTGACGATTTCCTCTATGAAATGGGGGGGGTCATTCCTCCTTATACAACGAATGCACTCCCAGACGTGGAACCCCCCCTGTTTGTATTCGCAAGATGATCTTCCCCGGGCCTATGCCATCCACTTCCGTGTGAATGGGCGAGAGTGACTACATCACCGTAGCTCCAAAACCTTCCAACAGAGGTTGAAGGACCCTATAGACCTATAGACTATCCCATACAGTAGGTACCCCAGTGGGGTCCCTATGAGGTCACTGGCTACCTCTCTTGGCTCCTCCAACCCCAGCAGACCGCCTTCACGAGGCGCGCGCCGCCCAGCTGGTGGCGGTGCATGTGGGGCATCAGGGTGCCGTGCTCTCGGTGCGCTGGGCACCCAACGGTTCAGGCACGGCACCCAACGGTCCAGGCTTGTGTGTCTGGCTTCTGGAGACCAGTCTGGGAGTAGGAAGGAACTGGAGAAGGAAGGAACGCAAAGACGGACAGCTCCGGGAAGTGAGTGATGGTTTGTTGTTCTGTTTCGAAGATGCTTCGTATCTATTCGTATCTGGTGAATTCAACGCGTTTACCAGGCAGGCCAGGTCGTACCAGTCGTACCACCTTCCAGGGCTCTGGCGTCCGCTCCCCATGAAACCAAAGTTGGGTATGCTTCAACCTGTTCAGTGTTTTTTTTCATATTTCGCCCTTCCCAGGAGTCTTTTTTCATCTGTTTTGGGTGTTCCCGTCGCTCATTTTTGGGCCACCCCTAGCCGCTTGCCGGCGGCTTCCCACGAACCGCCGTCGAAGCGCCGAGGCGGCTTGGCGTCCGCCTCGGAGGATGGCCAAGCGAAGATCTGGGCGGTGCCAGGGGCGCCGTGAGAAAAAGGGGCTTCGGGTGCGGCGACGAAGCTTCGGACGGGGGGGGGTGGGCTTTCCGATTCTTCGCTCTTCTTGGGGTCTTGGGGTTGTGCGAGCGGCTTCTTGGGTGAAGTGGCAGTTGAGCAGTTGGGATCCATGAATGGAACTGTGGGGTGGGTGTGCTAGTCAGCTAGTCATAGTATGTCGTAGTTCACAGGTTCAAGACACCGGCGCCAGGACGGAGTTTCACACCTTGGAGGAACGGAGTTTCAGGTACGTAGCACTCCAGCTGATACGACTCGCGTCTCGTGGTCGAACGGACGTTTCTTTGGCTCAAGTTGAAGTGGAGCAGCCTTTCATGGAGGCGCTTGCACCAAGAGATGCAATCCACTCCAGCCTTTCAAAGGAAGATGGGTGCATGTCGGGTCTCGGGTCGCAATGTTTTGCTGTTTGGAACCGCTCCAAACAGAGCGTCCTCCAAGAATTTTCAAGAATCCACAATCCCCGTTGGAACCCCAGGCATTTGGGGCATTATAACGGAGGAAATAACGCACCATAAGCTCAACATACATAGACTATCATAGACTTAGATTTTGGACCATAATTGTTTCTTGTTTGGCTGATTCTTCTTCGTGGATTCGATCCGATGTCCGGTTCCGGGCTGGTTCATGCAGGTTCGGTCACCGGCGGGCTGACGCAGGGGCACCGAAACACGCCCGATCAGTCAGGGGTGGTCTTCCTGGGGGGTCGACCTCTGGGGCGGCAGTCCGGACTGGCAGTCCCGTTAGTCGTGTTTGGGATAGGATTTCCCGGTTCTATGCGGATCCTCTTCACCAGGTCTAGTGCATGCGTGTCATAGACCTCCAGCCGCATGCGATTCCAGCCGTTGTGCAGGCTGCCATCGGTGCATCTTGAGGTGATGGGGGAGGCCGAAAGCGAAGTGCACAGCGGTAGTTGCAGGGAGTCATTCTGAAAACCTGCCAAAAAAGCCTCAAGCAGCGACTCACGTTGTAAGTACTCAGGGACGAAGCCAGCCTAGCGGCCTAGCTAGCCTCACAGTTCAAAGCAACAACGCCTCATGGTGCTCAGCCAGATGAAGTTGACGCCTGTTTGGGTTGAGAAGGAGTCGGTGACGGAGGGGCTTCTCATGGACGTGGCTTCCCTTGTCGCACGAGAGGTGTTTGCTTTTCCCGGGACGGAGATTGCCCGACAGCAACACTTCTTTCCACTCCTTTCCCAGCAATTTCAGGAGAATGGGAGGAAGAACGGACTATTGGTGGTGAAGAACGAAGCTGGTGAAATGGTGGCCTTCGTCGCCGTGCTCGTGGACAAGCTTTCAGGTCCCTTTCGGGATGTCTCGAATGAAGAGGTGGCTCGAATTGCCTATTTGATGGTGGAACCATCTTGGCGTGGTTGCGGCATCGCCTCCGAGCTTGTGCGCTGCTGTGAAGAATGGGCCGCCTGTCGAGGCTTCACCTCCCTCTATTTGTTTGCTTACAGTGAGAAGAAACACTTGCAGCATTTGTATTCCAAGCTAGGATATGTCAAAGTTGCTGATGAGTTGGTCTCCGCTCCTGTTCCCTTCCTCGAGGACCGCTTCAATACCCTGCGGACCAAACCATTGACCAACGTGCTGTGAGCCAGCTGGCCTGGGCGAAGCGTGTGACCCAGCGATTTTGTTTGGTGCTACGTGACCGTGCGTAGCTGTTTATAGGGCCTGAGTGTTTACAGAATAGAAGTGCACATGAGCCAAATGCGTGTCTAGTGACTCTAGTGCCCTGATGTGCCCTGCATGAGAAATGTTTGCAAGCCTTTATATCAGCCTTGGCCCAATGGGGGCCAGCTGTTGTGCGTGCACCCGAAAAAGAAGAGGTGTTGTACCAGAGCTTGGGCTTTTGGTTGCACGTCTTGTGTCTTAACTCATGTGCGAGGGGTGTTTGTGTTCTGTTCTGGCGGCACAGATGCAAGACACTTCTGAGTTACTGGTGACTCCAGCTGCCAACTGGCACTACACCAAAAATCCTTGCAACTGTCCTGATGAGTTACTACGAGGGAGCCTAACTTTGGCATTCTGACTCCATCTCCGCCAAGATCCATTGCATGTCTGAGGTGTGATAGGATTGGTCCAATGGTCCTATTCACCAGGTACTGCATGCAAGGCAAAGACACGAAGCAACAAACATCAATGCTGCTTTTCAAGGACATGCTTTGCAGCCTCCATATGCATCTTCTGGATTACATTTGTTTGGTACCACTTTTCAATGAAACAGTGTACAATCCATCAATCTTCAAAATGTGCGACCACATGCAGCCAGAGGTGCCCCTTTCACACCATGACCGGAGGTCCCCCAACTGATTGAAGCCTCACAATTCAAAAGACTTGTTTACTTGCGTCCTATATGCACACACACACACTCTTTTATATACTGTTTCATTTATTAACTCTGTATACATATATACATGTGTGTGCATATGTGTATATCGTCTCAAATCTATTGGAACTCCTGACTAATCTCAAAGGGCTGAACACACCCGGCACCACTACGACCGGCGAGGCCTCCAGCGATCCTCAGCTCCATGTGGCGCGCTTGGCCGTGCATCTGAGCAGCGACCTCGCGCAACGCATGGAGGACGAAACGGATCAGCCCGTTTGCGGCGGAGAGGTCGGTGTTTGAGCTGGTGCTTCCCTGTTGGGATCCGGTAGTCACGGTAGTGGTGAGGTTGAGAGGGGATTGAGTGGTCGTCCGCGCACCTCGCGACACTTGGGACATCAACGTGGGAGACTTTTTGCTGCCAAGTGACGACTGTGAAGAGGCGCAGCTTGATCTATGTGACGGTCTCGATTGTGTGACCCTGGTGATGAAAACAACGAACTTCCAAAAGATTTGGAGCGGAAAGATGGACGTCCAATGCCGAACCAACTTGGCTTCCGCTGCCAGGCCAACCAAGTCTCCCCCAGCCAGCCAGCTTCAGGCTTCGTTGACCCCCCGCCTCCGAGCCGAGCTGCTGGCCACACCTGACGCTCGGGTCCTGCCGAGCCGTTTCAGGACGTGCAGCAGGCACTGAAGCCGATCCAGGGCTTGGTGGCCGATGGGAAAGGCCGTCGTCGCGCGCGGAGGAAGCGTCGCCAGACGACGGCGTGGAGGAAGTGCGGGGGACGCGCGGTGCGGGACGCGCGGGGGACGCGGTACGGGCGGAGGTGGAGGAGGTCGGTCCTTTTTTGGAGGATTGGGGAGCTGAGGGTGGGGTTGTGGGGTCATGTGAACTTTTTCTGTTTGGGTTGCTAACTAGCGTTAGTTAGATCAAGAAAACCATTTTTGTTCATGGGTGTTGGATGGTGTTGGAGATGCAGGTGACACCACCAAGAGCAATGCCCATTTGGCATTGACACATTGAAAGTTGAGAGTCTTAAAGGTCTTATGGAGCATTGCGAAGAGGGGTCCATGCTCTCCAGGTGGTAGGATTTATACAGTGACAAGTATGTTTTACATTGTCCGTCAACCATATCATGGGTGTGGGATGGATGAAGCTTTTGCAACTTGGGTAATGGACAGCGGAAATCACATGCGGGTTGCCAGCTTTCACGTTGTTCTTCCCTCCAACCCCCCTAAAATGCAAGATTGCCTTGTCCTGAGGGTAGGCCTGGCGGCGGTGACCGTCCATGCAGGGGATGGATCTTCCGTTTTTGTGCTATTATGGGAAATCCATATGCCAGGTGCTTGTCAGTGTTTCTCAGCAACACACAAGGACCTTTTTTCCTTTTTGCCATGCAACCCACTTCAGTAGCTACTCTACACATTTTGCATCATTTTTCACTAAGTTTGGAGGGAACCATTTGTTCTCAAACATTAACCTAGCAATGGCTGAGTGGACTTGTTTCATCCAGGGCAATGTTTAGGCCCCTGTGTTGCGGGGGGGCAGACTTTGGGCTGAAGAACGGTTTGGGGCCGGGTGCCCATGCCGCTTCCCCGCCAGGTGCCGAGGCCATGCCGCTCGCGGTGCAGACGCTCTCGGTGGTGGCCAAGCGGCGGGTGGAAGCCACGCAGGGGGGCCCGGAGTCGGTCGACGCGTGGGTTGTGGGGAGGTCGATGTCGTGTAGACCCCCTGGAAGTCTACCCAGGGCTTCGGGGCTTCCCGGATTTCAACCCTCCAAGTAAGGTTGGGAATTGGGCCGGCCCTGATTTTCCGCTGGCAGATGGAGATGTGGCAAGGGCGCTAGGATCGCTAGGAGGTAGGTGTTGGGAAGGAGGTGTTCTCTCCAGGCTCTTGTCCTGAGACTGGAGTTTCTCTGAATGCTGCACAGCCCCACAGAACTCCTGGCGAACCAATGCCAAAGACCACTTTGGGCAAAGCCACATCTAAATCATAAATGATTTGGATTCAGGTCATTTGAGAATTGAGCCAAGAGCCGGGCGGTAAAAGTCATGCTTTAACCTCACCTCAAGATGCTCCCAGCATCATTCGGGGCTTACCGTCTTGCATTCCATTCCTTCCTTCCAATTTGAGCGACTCCACCTTGCGCTTCTGGGCGTCCAGTGGAGGCCCAATGACTGAGACCAAAACGTAGTGTAGGGTGGTTGATTATGATTGGTGACCCCCCAAAACGGTAGCTTTTCATCCCACCCACCCATTCCCACCCGCCCCATCCCCGGCCGAAGCCCAGGCTTCGCTTCCACCCAGTCATCCCCCTGACGGCGGCCTGCATCGGCAAAGATGCCGCCGGGCGCTGCGCGTGGATTGCTCGGGAGTCGTCACCTGGATGAGATAGGATGAGCCACCATCGCATGGGCCATGCGGATGGCCGGAAACCGTGAACGGCCGGCGAGGGGGAAGTTCGCAGGAAGAATCATCGGATGGATGTATAATTAGACTTCCGTCTTGATTCCTTGAAGATCCGGGAGGCGTCCACCCCAGAAGGCCACAAAGGGTGGCTCCCCAACATCTCCTAAATCTGCACTCCTTTGGGTTTTACCACTTGCCTCAGGGCTTTGGGTTGGGAGTGTGGCAGAGAGTGCTGTTGGTGCCTGCGCTTATGGCGCTCACCCATGACAAAGCCCTGTTGGTTCAGCCGTGGTTTTCCAATGCAAGGCTTCAGCAGTGCCTTCGAGATGGCAACGCCATTGGCCAGGCCACCGCTTGAGGGGAGTTTATAACATCTACTGTATATATAATTCCGAAAGGGTTCCCAACATCCTGGAAAACGGCCTTTTCCTGGAACAGCATGTTTCTTCGTGCTCGTGCTCCTTCACCATGGAATCTTGAAGGTTTGGTGCGCACAGAACCACCGAAGCTGCTCCACAAAGGCTGCCCCCGCAAACCGAATGAGCTAGTCGCCCGCTGAAAGAGATGAAAGAGCTCAGACTTTTAGGAAGGCAACTGGGTGTTTGGGGGGGTCGTGCCGGGCCGGTCGACCGGGTGGCCTGCCACGTGCTGCAGGCCTATGCGCAACTTTTGGCCGGCTACGCCTACATCGAACTCACGGAGCTGAGCTTGGGATAGCTTGGGGGGGACGGGTAAGCCATGGCTTGTGATGGGCCTGGGAGAGGTGGAACAGATGTGGACCCAATTGAGGAGGTGGATGGCCTTTTGGACATGTGACAACATGTGGATGGTGTTTTATCATGTTTTATCAATGAGTTTTGGCAATGCTTTATCACCGTTTCAGCTTTTTCCGCAGGGCGCCAGTTGACGGCACGGTGGAACCACACCCAACAGGGGCGGGCAGAAGAAACTGAAGTCCTCGAGGGTTCCCAGCAGAGCATCTTAGGACGCTTGGTTATTGGGACAAGAACCAGTGTGGTTGCGCTTGTGTTTGATGGCGGGTTGCTGGTCTTTCTGGAATCCCTGCACCCCTTAAATAGTTGTTTTACGTGTGTCTGAATATTTTGTGAAATGTCGCCACAAGGAAAGCGACTCACGCACTCCTCTCTCCAGCAAGGCAGGCACACCAATGGATGTAGCGGATGTTTGTTCCACAGTTGTTGAAGAAATCCTTTTCCTAGGGCTCCAAGTATACCCCGAGGAGGTATTTGGACCCTCGAAACCAACACCAAACACTTTCTCAGAAGGTACTTGGAGCCATAGGGTTTGGCATTTCCACATCGTCCTCCCTTCCGCTTTCCGCACATGGACCGTGCCGTCATTTTGAACATGTTCCCATCCTCGCTTTTTCCTCCAGGACAGTGGGAAGGCCTTGAAAGCGGCCACGGCGAGTGAAGAGATCTTCAAGGCGCAGAAGAACAAGCCTCCCGGCGTATAAACCCAGGCACAGAACCCCCAGGCAGACGACCTACTAACAGGGCAGTGGGCGTCTGACGACCTCCCACGCTCGACACATCCATGGCAGTCGGCCTTTCTGAAAGGCAGAGCCCTTGCCGTCTATGGATTCTGGCAAGCTCTACCTCAATCCAAGATTTGAGGGGCAGTGGAATTCAGGAATTGTACTGCACACGCGCGTGGGCCGTCGTACTTGTCCAAGAAAGGCAGGTGCCCGTTTTTCTGATTGCTTGACTCTGGGGACGGTGCGTATGAACATAGGGCACCCCTTCCATCGACTAGAACCGATGATTTCAGAGAGATAAAGAAAGATAGAGAGAGACCAGGGTAGAGTGAGAGACACTGAAAAAACGGGAGAGAGAGAGAGAGAGAGGCAGATGAGGCAGACAGCAAGACAGTAAGAAAGGACAAGAAAGGAAAAGGGCTGAGGTATTGTCTGCAAGATCCAATGAAACCAGGATAAACAGGAGCCTCAATAGAGCTCCGGATTTCACCTGGCTCGGCTTAGGCCTTAGGGCGAGGAACGGAACTTCATCAAGGGGGATTGCCTGACATCTCATGCCTGGTGTCACATGGTGTGGCAGGGCCAGGTGGTTCTGGCCTGGCTGGTGTCCTTCGATCCAATTCGACCCGAGGCCCGGAGAGGCTGCGGCCTTGTGCTGTCAAAGCTGCGTCCGGCTGTTAAGGGTCATGGCTGGAACTTCACCCCAGTCGCCCGGCGAAGGTCCAGTGACCGGGGAGGCAGTGCATTGAACCGGTCATTTGGGACTCTTAGGATGATATGTCCTTCCTCTTCCCCAGGCCTCGTCTGAGGTTTGACAATTCCATGGGCCGGGGGGCGAGAAGAGATCAACACCTGGCGCAGGGGCACGCCCATTCTTGGACCTGTGGAGGATGCGGACTCTCCGGACCCACGGACTGGTGGGTTTCTACTCACTTCCAACAGCACCAGCTGTGGCTGGTCAACTCGGATCTCGTTATCCGAGTCTTAGGGGGGGCCGTGCCATTCACTGGAGTGGTCCTCACTTCCACCCGAGGCCATGGGCTCATCCCATCCCCTCATCCCGCCTGAACAGTATCCGATGTTTTTGTTTCCCCTCTTCGCCCTCAGGTTGACTCTGGTCGAGGAGCGTGCGGGTGGTGGTTTCTGATGGTGGTTTCTAGTGGCTGGAACTGTGCAATATTGGTGGGATGGTGGAGATTTAACAGTTTAGGCACGGCGTGCAGAAGTGCGCTTGCCCAAGGTACACATATGGACTTAGAATAATGAATGCAGTAGCTGTCTCATTGTTTACCAATGTCCACGGTGTATTCGACTGCCAGAATTGGGTCGCCGCTTCTGCCACACAGCTCGTGCCACAGCTCGAGCCTCGCAGGAAAAGGACGAAAAGCTGAAAGAGCTCAAGAAACGGCACGAGATCGAAGCGAAGGCGACCCGGCACGAAGCGAAGAACAGGGATGGAAGTCGAGCGGAAACATCGAGCGGAATTCGATGGCACCGCTGACCTTTTTTTCTCCTTTTTTGGTCCCAGATCAGATGGCTTTTTGAAGGGCTCTGTGGCCATGGGTAGGATGAGTGTTAGCCAGTTCAGTTCTGAAGAACATCATGCAAATTCATGCAAATTCTCCCACCGTGTTTGTTTCATGCATTTCTTGGTTTTTCCAAGGCTGGCGTCTCCTCAGCACGTGCGGCCTGCAACCTGTCAGGGAATGGAGACACATTTGGTGAGGGATTGCTCGGATGGATGAGAGGGTATTGATGGCAGCGGGGCTTCAATCTTCAGAATTTTGGTTGGTTTTGGTTAGTGCTCAAAGTCGTTTGGGCACGTACCACTTCCCAACTTCAAGATGCAGCTGGCTAAGCTGCTAAGCTACTGCCATGCCTTGCATGATGAATGGGCAGTTGGTTGGCCTCTGCTGAAGGGTCTGGAGTGAAACAAATCAGACGATCCTGAGATGACCTTTTGCTATTGGTTGGATGGTTGGTGAATTGAATAGAGGAGATACCCCAAGTATAACCAAATTGGTACTGGTCATATGGTACCCGGCACGCCCCACCCCCCCCAGCTGCTTGGACCTCCCAAGCTGGGTGCGCCCAGCTCGGACCTTCCAAGCGGCAGTTCCACCCGAGGGGCCTCCAGCTTGGTGTTTTCCTCAGTGCTTCCACCCGAGGCAGTATCTACAGCGACATTGATGATCGCATGTGGCCTGGACCGGTCTGAAGACGATCTTCCTTCGTCGCGGCATGGGAGGATGTTCCCCAGCACTTGGACGGGAAAATTGTCAGGAAAGCTCGTGGTGTCTGGGGAGTCATAAAAATGGGTCAACACTCCATGTCTGTCACATATGCCGCCCCATTGACCCCTCACACCACCCCAATTGATCGGTGAATATGCCAGTCCCATGGAGTGTCAAAAAATGGGTCAACACTCATGGTTTCCGGTCGATTTTCCATTTTTCGAACCGATCCATGAGACCTCTCGGTGCTCGGGGGACGTAGGCGAAGCACCCGGACCGGCACAACTGAGGTCCGAGGCGAGCTGCCTAACTCTTGCAGGGGTCCTCAAGGGACCCAGCTTGCACCTGTGGAGATCGTGAACATGGCGGGTCAAAGAAAGAAACACCACGTCAACAGGTTGATCCGCCAGAACATGCGCAGTGCACAGAACAGACTACCAGGACATGGTTGTCTGTTTTAGGGTCCACATTTTGACCCACCTCCACAAATTTCTCCAAAGCCGATGGGGACGACTTGGTGTGAAAAAATGCGGTGCACGAAGGATCCATCATGCTCCACGGTTCTTCGACCCCGCCGTGGACGTAGGTCGGAGAGCTCATGCTGGCCAAAGATGATGTGGATGAGGCAGGTGGCCAAGTTGGAGCAGACCCCCCGAGCAGGAACGGAGAGGTCTGACCAGTGCAGCAGGAACGGAGAGGTAGAAAAGAACTGTATTTCATTCTTGTGACTGATATCAGTGCTTCACCTAGTCACTAGTCAAATACACCAACGAATTCCTTCCTGGGAAGTTGCAGTAGGCAGCCTGCAGTGGGCTTGTACATGATTCACTTGCTTGACTTGCTCAAGTACTTGCTCATCATCCCACCCAGGGAGTAGTGAAGGACGACTTCATTCTTCGTTTTCAACCCTTTTCCGTGTGATCAATCTTGGCCTCACACCGGACGAACATTCCCACAGCCGGACTTGAGTGGTTACTTACGAATTGAGCTCTACAAGTCCAAAGACCCAGTAAAGCCTGGTCTTTTACCTCAGTAAGTATTGGTTTTGTATGACCATCTCCAGTAAAATGAGGTCTTTGACTTGTAGGGTAGGTATCACGCTTCCAGGCCTTTGGATTACACTTGGAAGCTTTGCTTCGACACGCGGTGAGGCCAAGACTGCGGCGCGGGAAGCGCGCGACATCTTCCAGGCGCCGAGTCGGCCGGGGACGGCTGAAGAGCTCGTGGCGGATGGATGCGGATGTAGAGAGAAAGGAGATGAAAGAGCATCTAATAGAGTCCAACAGTGAAACTCGAACTTCTGGAGCTTCTTCTGGCGGTTCATTTCTTCGCTTTCTTTTTTCTTAAGATCGCTTTGTGTATTGTATAATGCTGTGTGGCGCTAGGTTCTGCAGGGGACTGAGCGGCAGTTCGCTCTCATTTCCGGGAGCAGTCTGAAAGACTGGTCGCCTTTCAAAGTCAGACCCCCCCTTACTAAACTTCAATTTGAGCTGTTCTAAACCCATTTGCGGCTGTTCTGATGTCCCTCGCGTTCTGCGATCGTCCTCGGTCCAGTTGGGACCGCTTTGCTCCGACTTCCAGGATCTGGAAGATCCCTACGGCGAGGCCCGATGGGTCCACCGCTCCAAAGGGAGGACGAGGCTGCTTCACGCAGCGGTCCCGAGCTCCAAGATACACTCCCTGGAACTCACATGGAAGTGGATTGCCTGGCCCCGAGTTCGGACGACCATGAAATCCACTACAAGCAGGTGGTTTGCCACGTAACCATGTGAGTTCCAGGGAGAGTATCACATCAATATGGCCGTGGGCCGTGGCACCGGGACACCCGACGGTGGGAAACCCACCGGTCAAACGAGCAGAATAGACCACCAAGTCGATGGTGACCGGGGCTCCAGTTGATCAGCCATGTGGACAGGTCAAAGGCCAAAGGCTGGAGCTATTCAACTCTGGTAGGTTGAGGATTGGCTGGTAGGTCAACCAAGGTCTCCTGCAGCATGGTGCCCCGACCCACGGCCATATGACTATATCAGACGTTCCCGAGCAATGAATTCGACCGACAAGCATCTTCAAGTTTAGACATCAAAGAAAATTCATTCCTGACAACTAATTTGCCCCTTTCTCAATTGTGATACCCTCTGGAGGATTGACATGGAAGCTGAAAACCACTGGGTTCTAGTTATGAACTCTTGGTTCTGGCCAAGCGGCTGAAAACCTGAAAACCACTCGGTTGTAATAGAGGAAAAACGTCTTCCGAAGGTCCATTTTCTGGTTCCATGCGGGTCTCTTCCCGGGTGTAGGGAAGCACCCTTCTTTTCCCCTTGTCCCTCCGGAAAGATGGTCCTTCGGACACGCGCACTCACTCACCTCTCGGAAGGCTCGGGCACTCAACTTGATTTTGAGCGCCAACATGCGACTTGGCGCCCGCGACACGAGAACCGCGACACGCCGCGACACGCCATCGCGACGCCGCAAGTAGCCCCGCTCTTGGAGGGGGCTATTCGGCGATTCTCTCACGAAGCTATTAAGAAGAGTACCGCAAGGCCTTATCACGAACCTATCAAGAAAGAAGCAAGATTGCTTGCTTCTTGTGTCTTTCTTTCTCTATATACTGTGGATGCCATCCGCTTGATTCGATCTCTCAGCGGGAAAAGCCAGTGAGTGTGTGTGTGTGTGTTCACAAGGCTTGTGAGCGTAGTGATGTAATTGGTCCATCAGTTCCAGTTCAATTTTCCACCCTTTCCAATCTTGACTAACCTATAAACGTAATATAACTTAATTAATAACCCCCGATATATCACCATATTGATCATATTGTAAGACCTTCAGGCCTGGGAGGGGTTTAAAATACATTTTAAACATTTGTCGCAGCGCGGACTAGGCCGGCAATGCAATTGAAGGAAGGAAGGTATGCCGGCGGGATCCTGCGCTTGACTGTAAGATCCACGATTCGAAAGTCGAAGGTTGATGAAGATCCCCCGAGGATTGTTTCGACCTCCTTCAATCCTGAGTCCACGCCCCTTTCCATCCCGGTCCGGAGGTGTCTGTTTCCTTTAATGGTCCCTCTAAACCGTTTACTGTTGGGGTTCCCTCTTAGGACCAAAAGACCTAGACCTATGTTATCAGGGCGTAGTCGAAGAACCTCTCAGGTGAAGTAGATGATTTGTTGCTGGGATGCGGCAGACCGGGCCGAACGCCCCGAACGCCCACGCCGCCGTCGGAACGGGCCCCTTCGGGCGGGCGCGAGGCTCCATGAGGCCGATGCGGTGGATGCCCTCTTTGCGGCGAAGGACGTGCTGTGGCTCTTCCGGGGGAACGACATTCTGCCGGAGGAGGAGGACAAAAAGGCGTCTTCGTTTTCGTCTAAAGTCAAGTGAAGTCACTTTTCGGGGGGATGACTGGGGATTGGGATGGATGAGGAGTTGGGAAGGGGGATGCATTTCTTGGGAAGGGGGATGGAACGGGGGGTGGGAGTGCACTTTTTGCCGCTAAGAGTCAGTCCTTTAGAAGCGAATCTGCTTCAAAAGCCGTTTCGTTCAACGAGCAAATCTCGTTTTCTCGTTTCGTCCGCCCAGGCTATTGCAGATGCTCTTCATTGTCAAGCCAAGGCGTGGTGTGGGCGTCTTCAGAGCCATTTCACACAGGGCTAAGATGGCTACACTCCGACTCACTAACATGGAGGTGGAAAATGGCCCCTTGGAAGACTACTTTCCTTTCGGAAGGGGGGGTTTTCCACTTCCATGTTTGTGAGTCGGAGTGTAATGTATAGACTTGTTGATGTTCAAGAAACACCCACCCATGCTGGAGACATTTTACCATCCATGTCTGGGGGGGGTCATCCACCATACTGCATTGAGATGTCAACAAGATGTCCCAACCCAAACCCACCGCGTTTGGTGCCCAGCGCTCTGCGGCAGACCATCGGCCCCACCGCGTTCGTGTCGCACGGCACCGCATGCGACCCGGTGCCGAGTGGATCGAGCGGTGCCGAGGTCCACTTCTCCATCGGCGAGTTGGCCGATGCGAGGGAAGTGGCCGAGGAATCCTTGAAGTACTATGCGCAGGTCTGCGGGGGAAGGAGGAACTAGTCTTTTTGCGGATTTTTTTAAAGACGGGAGCAGAGTGCGACTTGATTCCTTACACTCAGCAGTTTTGAGTGAGGGGCAGTCAAGGCTTAAACTCGGCTCCAGTATTGAAATCCTCCTTGCTTGCGCCTTTGAAATCGGTAGCAAGGGGGATCTTGTCAGTTCTCAAAGAGTCTTGATCCCCTGCTTTCGGCCAGAACCAGTGCCTCCCAAACATTGCTGTTTTTCAGGCCCAGATGACGCCCAAGGAGCTGCGCTTGCGTTGCATTTTTTCGGACAGCCGAATCCTGGAAAAAAGACATGAGAGCCTGGTCCAGTTCACTCGTTCAGCTAGCGTTCCTGGCTGTTTTTTGCAGGGAGATGGCGATGGCAGCATCGGACTCCCAAGAGTGTCACTTTCAGCCAAGGAGTTTCACCATCCGACCCCACCACTGTAGATGGTGTTCAGATGTGTTTAGATGTGTTTGGGCTGTGAGTATTTTTTGAAGCTGAACTGTGACCTCATAGCTCGTTTTGTTCTTTGTCGCTATGATGTGACACCGAACCCGGTATGATGGTCAGAAGGGAAGCTGCCAGGTTTTTCCCTCAAAAAAACTCAAAAATAGGGGAACTTGACAGGGGTCTCGTTGAAACAAGCCATGAAAAAGGCGCAGCGCTCGCTGGAGGAGGCGGCTTATGGTCAGGGCTACGCGCTGCAAACCTTAGCACATATCCTGTGCGCAGAGCTCTCCCCTGATGAGGGCTTGCATCTCGGCAAGACTGCCGCGGCGTGGACCGAAGGGGTGATGAGACAGTAGCACCTGACTGGATTCTGATGTCATTTCGTAGAGAGGGAGGTCTGGGAAGCTTCATGGGGTGATTACTGTGTTTGTTACTCTTTGTTATCATTCATTCGTCTTCCGCTGCCTTGCGACCACGGACCATCGTCATAGGCGAAGCGCTTTCGAACGACCTAAAAACCAACGCCTTGCGCCACGTGGCGCCGCCCGGCACGAACGAGGCCCCACAGCGAACGCGCGGTGGAGCTCTTCGCCACCGCGCAAGACCAGCGCGGGGAGGCGATGGCCAAAGCGATCCTGGCGTACCAGGCGTGGATGGCCGAAGCCGAAGAGCCGAAGACGAGGATGGCCGAACAAGATCCTGCTGCCGAAAGGAACCACGAATGACCTGATCGTATCAGCCCGTCCTGCTGCCGAAACCGTCCTGATGACCACGTGATTCTTGATGACCACGGAACTACACTCCAAACCGCTTTACATGGAAGGATATGGAAGGAACCCCCATGAAAAAACACGTTTGTAAAGGAGAATAGCATACCAGGAGTCACACTAAGGGTTGGTTTGTAATCCCATCCAGTGAGCGGATGTGACAGGGGCACCCCGTCTTGTGACTCCTGGACTCCTGTAAGCCCTCCGAAATCGGGTCGTCCGCTCGTCGCGATGGCCTTCTTAAGGCAGCTAGGGGAATCGGCCGGGAGGGTCTCAAATCGGAACATGAATTACACTCCCTAGAGCTAACATGGAAGTGGAGAATAGCCCCTTGGAAGACCATGTTCCAGTACAAACAGGGTGGCTTTTCCACGTCACACGAAGTAGGCGTTGCGCTCGCGCTTTTTCGGTGGCACGGTCACCCGCCGCATGCGGCCGATCTGCCGTGGATGCTCCGCACCTTGAGGACACCATGTCGCGCATGAAGCAGCTGGAAGATACCCCACAGGCAGGGGTTGCTGAGCTTGATGATGTCACTTGTGCTTTAGGTGGTCTATCCAAAGAAGGGAACACAGGGGCCTGGCTGATGACCATTCAGATTGCACCACATTGGGCGGATGTGCAGTGGGCTTTGGTAGTCCCACCTTGCTTAGACGACCTGCACAGATTCTTTTTCAGCTTATCGACTGCTTTGGCTGAACCTGAGGGGTTGCTTGCACTGTTTGATCATCTCGGACATAGTGACCTCAGCCAACAAGACGCGGAGTCATTGCCCTGGAAAATGACCGCAGTGAACCCCTTCGTGCTTTCAGAGAGGGCGCCCCTCCTGAGATCCATTGCGCGTTGGCACAGGCGTTCACTGAGCAATCGAACGCTCGCGTGACGCAGAACTGGACCGTCATTGATGACGCCATGGATGCTCGGCCAACAGAAGCACATAGCACATCATGGCACTTGGCCGGCGACAATCCGAGTGTATCCACTTGAACCTGGTGTTTTGCTGGTGATGTTCCAAGAGAGGTTGAGAGACCGCTTCACGTTCGGACCCTGGTCTGTGGTACATATGGGATGGGCTAGGATGGGGCTGTTCAACCTCTCTTGGTTGGTCCAACTTCCTCACCAACCACCAGGGGAAGAACAGTTCTTCTCCCGACTCCATGGCGCCCAACTGCAACCCGTCCGTTTGGGCCGCACCGAGACAGAGCGACATGTCACGTGGTCACGTGCCAGAGCTCCAAGAGAGCTCCTTCATCACGGTGCCGGTTCCCACGAGGTGATGATGCGCGAGATCCGGAACCAAGAAGGTGAAGACACCATTGGCCTCTTGGTCGTCCCAGGCCCTTTTTTTGCCCAACCTGGCGTCTCTGCGGCGACGTGCGCAAGGCATGTGGGGAGGGGGTGCCCCTAGTTTTCCCAGGTGATAGGTGATAGCAGCATCCATGAGCAGGGAATGATTCAAATCCATTTATAAATACAATTGCTGCGACCTTTATCCAGTTGCATTTCGACCAAGATTTTATGGAGAAGGAGCTCGATCTTGGTTACACGATGACGTATTGAAAGAATTCTAATTACCAAGGAGTTTGTTAATTTTCTTTTGGGTTTGGGGCAAGCGTCGGGTTCACTGAAGGACGTCACGAAATCTCCGTGACCTTTTGAAGGCTTGGGAGAGAAGTGCCACCTCTGCCAATTTGATAACTCCATGACCTTTTGCTCATTCATTTTACGGGCAGAATTGTGCCATTGTTCAAACTACATTATGTTGTCTCCTGCACGCGATTTGGCATTTCGTAGAAGGCCAATGCCAATCATGTGAGGTTATAGAGATTTGACCTATAGCTTTCCGTAAACCCAATTGCTCCGCAGAATGGGGGTCGCAACCCTATTTCCTAGCCTCATTGGGGATCTTGGTAGACATGATCAAACGACAGACCGCAACTCTGTTTTTCATGGAAACGCGTGTTGTGGTGGTGAAGGGATCCTGCAGTTGATGATATCCATCGTGCTTGCAGCATGACGGAGTCTTCCAGGATTTTGGTGTTACTTGTATACCCCAAGACTGTCGGCTCAATTCCCAAGCGGTGATTCTATTTTCAAGCCTTTCTCAAAAAGTGGTCTTTGGGATTTGGTTCGCCAGGAGTTCCGGGGGGGGCTGTAGCTGTAGTAAGGTACACAGTACACATCACAGCCTGCGAGCAGCTGAGGCTCCTTGATCTACGAGATGAATCAGAAAGTCGGGTTTCTCGTTGGCACTGCTGCGCCCCACATCGATGTGCGAACCGAAGCTCTGGGCCGGTGGTTCCCGAAGCACTGGGACCGAGAAGCTGGCCAAGTTCAGGCATTGACTCAAGTCATGATCAGTGATGGGTGAGGTATCCATTCTGGTCATGAGTCCTTGGTGTGGGGGCGGGTTGTGAGCCGCTTTTGAGTGACTGGAGCAGTCCTAGGTGATCCTAGGTGATCCGGGTTTCCATGAGTGGGTTTATTCCTTTGTCCTCATGGGGTGCAGCAGGACGCCCGTTTGGTCCCGCCTTCTTCACTGTGGGACCGACCGCCGGGACCCTTCCGGCTTCGGACCGCCCAGGGAGATCCAGAAGAAGATGTCCACGCCCACGAAGACGGTGTGGACCGTGGACCGCGTCACCCGCAAGGCGAAGCAAAAGGACAGCGCAGTGCGCAGCGCACGGCGAGAAGCACCGCACGGAGAGGGAGGAGGGAGTTGTGCACCACCCGTGCACGGCTCAAAAGGTGGACAAGCATTGGTGAAGGTAGACACACACACACACAGATATATATATATATATATTCACATAGATGTACATGCACATACATATTATACAAATATGCACGTACATCTATGCCAATGGTTGTTTTCCAAGCAAGACTGCTTGTCATCTGCATATTATCTCTGTTGGGACCCACCTTCGCCAGTCTGGCCCGCGCCAGTCTTTCACTTGCTCGACTGTTCACCGGAGTCGTGAAACGAGGACTACTACGAGCCCATGGATCCGGCGGATCCCGTGGATCCGGCGGAGCCTGGCAGCGAGCTGGCGACGGCGGACGACGGCGCGGAGTGAGCGGCCGCGTGGAGCGCGGAGCCGGCGGGGTGGGACTCTTGGTCCTCTTCCAACGAAACCGAGCCCCTCCCTGCGAAGGACATGGAACATCCCTGTAGGAGACCGTGTAACTTCATTGACATGCCTTTTTGGTTAAAAACCATTTTTTAAATCTTTTTTACGCCCCCAAGGGTATCTTGAACTCATCCCAATCCAAGAAACTGCACTTTGCCATGTGAGACCCAGATAAATGCAGCTCAGGTGTCAGACTTTGTCCTGATGTAGACCAAAAAACATCGCAGTCCGACATGCGAGTGCCAAGCTGCGTCGTTGAGGTGGAAGTGCGAAAAAGACGTGCGACATGGCTTGTGCGCAAGCGCTGGCGGTGGCTTCAGCACACCATTGGGGGGCTCATAGGATTCTCAAATGCTTTGATTCAGGTTCCTTTAACACCAACTTCTACCAGAAACATCCGGAAACTTGTACCACACGGACAGGAAACATCCAGAATCCAGAGCGACCATCAGATACGTGATGTCACATCACCCGGCCGATCTGAATCTGCTTGGCTGTGAGAGCTCGACCAATGCGTCCCGACCGGTGCTGAGGCCAAAGCCGAAGCCACCGCCTCAGATGGTTGGGACGGTTGGGTTCGCATCCAGAGGAGCGTTGGGGCCAGGTGGGGGTGAGGAGAGGGCGCGAGAGGAGCGGTGACCGGCCCAAGCACTCATCACTTTGGCTCAGTTCTTGCATGTTCTTGCCATCCATTCGCTTCGTGGCCGTGGTTGGAAAGTGGGTGTGTTGAGGTTGGCTTCGGCGTGTCATGGCACGCTTCGGGCGGGGCCTGAGAGCCTTAAATGACATGTGCACATGTGTGCACATGTGTGCACATCTGCAAGGGTGTTTGTCTTAAGGTCCGTGCACAGCTCTTCCCAGTTCCTTTCTGTCCTCTCTGTCGCCAGCCCAGGGCCCGCCCCAGGGTTTCATCGCCCACCGTGTCGTGTGCGCGCTCCGTGCGTCAACCTTCCGACGCGGAAAAACCGTCACCGTCCCGATCATCGCTCGATCACCGGTGCGCACGGTCACCGTCCGGCTCTCTACATGGAGGGCCGGGTGCAGCGCTCGGTGGACCGGCTCTTGGAAGAGAACCAAAAGGCGAAGCAACAGCGCCCGGCACCCCAAAACAAGGGAACGGGAACCCGCGAAGGGCGCAGATGGAGGGGAAGATGGAACGGCATTTTTTGGGGTGCAGATTCCAGCCTATGGGGGGGTTGATTCATCAAGATTCTAGATATTTCTAGATTCTACATTATATGTATATATATATATAAAATAAATATACATACATATATATATATATATATAATATGTAATGCAGGATGCACTGATGAAGGCTGTTGCCCCTGTTTCCGGTGGGTTGCCGGCCTCCTCGGTCAGTCTCAGGTGAAGAGCTTCAAAGCGTGTTGAACAGCGAGAGCTGCAAGGTGATGGGTGGGTGGGGAGTGGGTGGAGCAGGGCGGAAGGTTACTTGCTTACTAGATGGTGGGTACCACATGGTGCCAAGATCTGGCCAAAGGTGTCTTGGAGTTCCAGATGTGCAATGCTTGTTGTAGGATGCATGATTGGTTCTCTTCTTTATGCATCTTTTCAAGTGGAAGCCTTGAGACTCAGGTGATGAACGCCATAGAACAACACTCTTCCTCAAAGGATTCAGTCAAGGAATGCTTGCCGAATTGGGGCTCCAAGAGCTTGGGACCCCATGCATTTTGATTCACTCTCGCTGATCACCTGAAAGTCCCAGGCAAGCACCAGGCAAGCAAGCATCAGCTTGGCTGAGCCCCTTCCCGTCCCGAAGCACGTGCGGCCCCAAAAAAGAACATTGCTACTTACTTCATGCACATCCATTTGCACATTGAAATGAACGAGTCACGGTTAGAAATACAGCAAACAGAAAACCATAAACCTGGCTCCCGGCGCGGTGCGGATCGCCGGCTGCACCGGACTCGGTGAAACGCGCGCGGTTACGAGTCCTGCAGGTGGAGCAGTTGGAGCAGCAGCGCAGCAACATCCAGCCGTTTGTCCTCAGGGTGTTGGCTTTTCGCAGGGTTTCGTGGAGTTCAGCCCCCTGTTTGTTAGAGGATTGGGTCAAACAAAAGGGGCCAGGTGTGGGCGACTAATTACGTAACCAGGAGGACGTTGGAGAGAAGGTAGGGAGAAAACCACTCCTGGGTGCTGGGCCACGGTGTGGGTACACCTCTTCAAGAAAGATCTCTTCAAACATGAGCACCAGGGAGAGAGAGAGAGAGAGAGGTCGGACGCCAAGTTCGGTGAGGCCTGCGAAGAGCCTCATTTTCCATATGTGTATATATATATATACACATTATATGTAGCTTTAACTCTGGAGGGTACCCCCCCAAAATTTTGTACCCTTAGCTGCTATCAGCTGAAGCGGTGTAGCAGACCATAAACTGTATCCCCCGGGGAAGACCATTGCTCAGGACTGTAGCAGACCATTTTCGTTGCTCCGCGGGCATGCACCGAACGGCACGTGGCACGTTGCGTTCGAGTCAGAGGAGTGCAGCAGAGATGCGGGAGGACGAGCTGCAGAAGAGGTCGGGCGTCCTAAGAGATGGAACCAAAAATCTGGCAATTTCCGCAACAGCCACAGATGGCCTTGTTGATGAATAGAGCTAGCGGTCACAGACCTCGAATAGCTTGAAAGTCAAACAAGTGGTTGATGAATAGAGGGGATACACCCAAGTGCACAACCATGTCCCAAAAGGACATCTGGCAACAGATAGATGGTCCACGTGCCAGGTTACGCATGATAGGAAAACTCTGTAGCCGCAGCACGAACACAAGAACTCTGCAGAGATTCCCCTTTGGGCTACGACCCTGTGGCTACATGGACCATGCAAATCCATGTAACCAAGTGTAGGCCAATCTGTGACTAGTTCATCCCCCTTGGTTGCGCCATACTGACATCCTAGGGATTTTAATACGTCAAATCCTGGGGATCAGCTGTCGGTACCAAGGGGGATACTAGTTCCGGATTGGGAAGTGCTTTGTTTGGAGATCGGGAGATCGGGCTCGGACCGACTCATCGATCGGACGCCGTGTGATGTGGTGATGCGATTGAACGGCGACAGCCAGTCCAAGCGGAGGTGTCCGGTTCGGTCCATCTGGGGTATTTCTCCGAGTTGTCAGGGGAGAAACGACCCTCAAATTGATGGAGAGGATGTGAGGTTCACAGTTTGCCGTGCAAACTTCATCATCTTCCTTATCTTCTTCTTCCTTCTTCTTTCTTGCTATTGGTTGCAGAAGGTTGCAGGAGGTTGGACATGGTTTGATTCCTTCCGCGTTTTTCATCGTTTTTCAGCCTCGGGTCAGCAAAAAAGGGTAGTTGAGGGGCGCCTACGGGTTTCGAGCTAGTTCACCACGGCCGGCAGCTGGCGGGAGAAAGAACACCCCACCAGTCCAGATCACCAGGCATACCAGGCAAACAAACCGAACCGTGTGAACCGCCCCAACCAGCAGTGACCCCCCGCCCGACCGGTCAGACCTGTAACCTGGTCCGGTCAGACGTGTGTCCCATGACCTGTAAGAGTCGGCAAGAGGTTTTCCTTCCTCTTTTGAGGAAGGTCTATACATCTAGCCCGGCCAACCAGGTGATGGGAGAGTCCTAAGAAATGAGGCTCTTCAGCCTCCAAATGCGATCCTCCAAATGCGGCTTATTTGGATGGTTTTGGCCGAAGCGCGCTGTAGTGCCTTGGATCCTTGACGTCTCCGGACGAGGAAAACCGCTGACCGAAGCGGACAAACTGAACATGTTCACTCATGGACCGGTCCAAACCCTTGAGGCGTCGGCCATGGCCATATCATACAGGTGGTTTTTGTCGACCAAGGCCAGGCCCACACCCCCACACCCGTCGATGTTTCCTGTGTGCGGCGTGAAAGGAATGAAGAGCTGCAGAAAGAGAGGGACGAGTTGCCAGGAGACTCAGTTCCGCCTCGCGAGTGTTTTGCTTCCTACAAGTGTGACAGCCTGCAGGAAGATCAGGAAGACGGGCAGGCATGCGTATGGCATGGCGTTCTGAACCAGTGGATTGAAATGGTTGGAATTTGGAGAAGGGGTTCAACCTCCAGTTAGGTGTGCATGAATGAAGTAGACCTCCCAGCTCTGGAAGATGGGTTCCCCATTTAAATCACCCACTTCAAGATCTTTTTCCCTGATCCCAAGCGACGCCAGCCACTGGGCGGCGCGCCGAAACTCATCGGCTCATGCCGAAAAGAGCTTCCAACTGCACCCAGGGAACATCGTTGGGGAGGGGGTTCTGCGCAAAGCAGTGGAAGAACCATGTGAAGAAGTGTTTGGTGTTTTTCTTCATCCTTTTCAAGCCTGGGACATGGATGATTTAAACCAATATATATAACCAACTCATTTCACAATCCTCTTCAGCCCCATTGGGCCCGGGAACCGGAAAGAGAACATGCGACAGTGGCTAGGAACAAGGAAGCTTAGGGGCTCCTGTCCTTACTGCTAGGAGCAAACATGCTACTAGGGGCTCCTGGCATCGCTACTAGGCGAAAGGATGCTACTAGGAGCAAAGGGCATCGCTACGAACGGAACAAGCAGCTCGGGTTGTTTCATGTTGTTTTATTGCGAACATGCTGAAGCATGCTTCTGCTGGAGAAGTTCATCAAGACCACTGAAACTCGGTTCCACCACTCGTTTGCTCGGTGCTTTGAAAGACGGGAGAGAGTTCAAGCATGCTTTAAAGGAGACGGCGATGGTGTCAGACATGGACATGACTTGAGTGGGGCTACAACCCATCATGGTTATACAATTACCGCCTTTCAATGTGCCGCATACCCAAACTACATCGACTGGGAGAAACAGTGGTCCCGCACTTACTGTAGCAAAAGGTGATCGCATGAATGCGTCGACATATTTGCTTTGGTAGGACGATGCGTTGAAAACAGGAAGGTAGAAGAAGAACAAGGCTACACATCTTAAAATTATGTATTCAGAAGCATAACCCAGACACTCCATGGAACTGGTATATTCACCTACATTGGGGTGGTTTTGGGGAAGACATATCATGAACAGCTACCTTTTCAATCGACCTGTTGCGTCCTTTTTTCCCACGTTTGTGGCCAGGTCTGGTCGACTCGATTCCTTGGAGAAGACTTTGGCAGAGACCAAGTCGCAACAATCACGAGACTTGGCAGATGGGCCAGCGGGGAGGCTGTCCAAATGGCTGTGGGTCATGGCACCAGGAGACTGCGGGTGAACCAACCTGGAGGGGTTGGTTCACCAGGCGTTGGGTGGTCGAGAAAATGGTTGCAACCCACCAATCTGATGCCCAGCGCGAGTGGCAGGTTCTGCGCCCACCAAGTGGGTCGTGCGGAGTTCTGTTCTGTCGCGCAAGTCTCGCTCCGAGACTTGAACCGCTTGGTGTTTGCAGCAAGGCCGTCGACCCAAAGTCAATCTGATGATCCTCGCTGACCAAAGAAGAAAGCGCCAAATAAATCTAATTAGCAAGAGTCTGAGGAGAAGTAGATGAACAGCATTGAAGACTGATCATCTGGGTGGGGGTGCTCTACATTTAGAGATCTCTGCCCATCCCAACAGGCGGCCCTTCGCGCGCCCGCCCTTCGGTTTGCTCACCCGACGAGTGAGGCCGCATCGGCGAATTGGAGGAGCAGCAGCAACAACTAGAGAGCAGGCCAAATGGCGTCCACATGAGCTCGAATTGAGTAGCTAGAAGCTTCTAGTAGCTCCTGGCATTACTACCAGTAACAAGAAGCTAGTATATAGCTAGAAGCTAGTAGGTTGGAGGCCATCGCTATTAGGTTGGAGGCCATTACTACTAGTAACAAAAGCTCCTAATGGCTACTAGGGAAAGGGTTTCACGAGGAACGTCATCAGATGTGGCCATGTGACGCCAGATGTGGGCCGTGTAACGCAGGCCTTGCGAAACGTTCCGCACTGTTTGGAAAGCCTTGAAAGGCTGACGCCACTGCCATCGGGACGTGAAGTTCTTTCAAGTTGACACTGAAGAGGCATCAGTTTGGCCTAGACACCGGCCCGCGCAAGCCCTTGCAATATGAGCACCCGTAAAAGTACCATCCTGGTGGCTGAAGTTGACTGAATCCTACCGGAACACCGGCGCCTTTTTGTTGGCTCTTGTGGTTTCACTTGCCGCAGATTCTGGCGGATTCTTGCATTTTAAGCCTCTCATAAACATGACATAAACATCCTGCAGCCCTGTGCACGCATTGTTGCGCGGGTGCACAATAAGAGGGGAAGCAAAGGCACCAGAAGCCAGGAAACGTAAGGAAGCACATATAGTGGTCCCCAAATAGATAGAACAGCAAATCCCTAAAATGTATTGGACACCGTGCCACTATCTATTTGGGGACCCCTAAAAACTCAGAATCCTCACACCTGACCATGTGAACCACCCGATGTCTTCAGCCTCGTCGCCCGGACCCTTGACTTGCCCCCCGTCCTCCCCCGTCCTCCTCGAGCACACGGTGGAGGCACCGAGAGCTGAAGGAAGTGAAAGAAGCCTTACAGGCCAACCGGGTGGAGTGAACCGCGGCCAGCGAGGAAGGGTCCGGACGTGGACGGACGGGAGGGCAGCAAGAAAGGGCAGTCCTTGGAATGGTGTTCTATCATCACCCCATCCCTTTCCTTTTCCTGGTTTGTTCGTTGAAGAACTTGAGCAGCTGAAGAGGTGCAAAAAGACCGACCCCCTTGATCTTCCATCGACTGCGGCCTGAGGTGGAACGCCAAAAGCTGCAAGCAGAGATGCAGGAGCCCCCGCGGTTCACTCCAAGAGAACAGGGTTCGACCGCCAGACAAATGTGTCATCCACATGGAGGTTCAAAACCCACTGCTTGCACGGCAAAGTGTAGTCTTCCTCAAGGCAATTGTTCACCTCCATGTGTTCGGAGTGTACGCCGTACGCCATCGGGAACTTTTGGTCCCCAAATGAACGCAGCACGCAGCTGGAGAGAAGGTGCATCTCGGAAGGATGACATCTGAAACTTCATTGATGCAGGCCATGCGGCTAAGATGTATACAGGCAAGTCTTCTGTAGTCGTTTGTTCCCCCCTTCAGGCGTCTTCGGTCACCTACCCACCGTCCGACCAAAGCGGACGGAGGATGTGTCGGATGTGCGACCCATCTCAGTGGATCAACGACCGCGTTGGACCTGGGTAGCTCGGACCGCGTTGCCATGGCCATCTACGAATCTCAGCTCATGGCCGTACCTTGGAAGACGACCCCCATGAAACGACACACACACCCACCCTTGAAGTCGACCCACTGTGTGTGGGGTGGGGGGAACAACATCCCGGAACCATAAAAAGACATCGATGTTTTTTTGGGGGCGGTGAGTTAGAAACAATTGAAACCGACTGATATAAAAATACATATGACATATATACTGTATATAAATATATACCGTATATATATATATATGTCAAGCTATGTTAAGGCGCCCCTCCAAAGATCACCCTTCTCTTTTGGGTGTTTTTGGACTCCAACTCGAGCTCCGTGGCTCCCTGGGGTTTCCGCAAAGCTCCGTCCAGGCGCAGGATGGAGCTTTGCAGCTTCCAGAGGTCGCCGTGTGGGGGAACCTGGCCATCTACACGGCCGGGGTGGTGTCCAAAAGACGCCGACGCGAGAAGGACGTGTTCTTTTTTCTATTTTATTCTCGAGTTTGTGGAGGATGGGTCTGCTTTTAAAAGGGCAAGGGGGGCTAATCCTGGGACAAGAAGTAAGTGACTGAAACTCTAAACTTTAACATGTCGAAACATTTGAACCTCTCAGGTGGCCTGGGCCCTTCTCATGTGGCCTCAGCATCTTCCCTTGGGCCGACCATGTATTGCCCTGGTCTTTGCCGCGATGGCGTGCGGTCTGCGCGAGTTCTGTCACAAGGCTTGGCCTGAGGAGGACTATCCCAGCCTGGACTTTTTGGGGAAGATCAATCCAACACCCATCGGATTGCTCTTTGGGTTGATGTTGGTGAATGCCTACCTGAGCGACACTGGCTTGTGGAAGCATGTGGACGCCCGATCTCTTAAACAGGAGCTTTTTCTATCTTCTCAAAGGTTGGTGGGACTAGGTCTGCTTGGGCTTGGATATTTTTTTCGACTGGTGTTTTTTGTTAAATCATGCCGGAGCACGCATTTTTTGACATGGTGAGGCTTAATGATGCCTCATGACATGATTCTCAGATAGCCAGTCTAGGAGTTGAGGACATCTATAATCGTATATATATATATATGTCGGGGGCCTCGGAATGCATGATTTTTCCCGGTGCGGGCTTCCGATTTGCCCCAAGGAAGGGCTTTTGGACACGCCGTCTCCCACATGGCTGCTCCTGAAGATCTGTGGCCTGGCAGCTGCTACGTCCGCGGTGTTGACCAACGACACCACCTGCCTGATGCTTACACCTTTGGTCCTGAAGCCTGGCATCACAGGCTTTTAAACATGTTTTTGGGACGAAAGCCTTTTAGCTTCTGTCCAAAAGGGAGGGCGCTTGTCGGAAATATATCATGCATGAAGCAGAACAAACATAGACATAGACTCACAACAGAATGCTCTGTTTGCCACGAGACCGCCATGAAGTCTTGTGATGTTTGTTTACGTCGAACACGTCGAGAACGAGGTGATTTGGCCGTCCGACTCGGCGACCGATCAAACACCGAGGAACCTGTGCAGACAAAGAGGCGCCCAAAGTACCTTGCCTTTTCTGATGGCCGTGGCGACCAGCTCGAACATTGGCAGCAGCCTCACCATCATCGGGAATCCGCAAAATGCTCTCATCGCGCCTGGGACAGGTCGGACAGGTCGGACAGGTCGGACAGGTCGGACATCGGAGAAACGCATCGACCACGCAGATCCGGGGCCACGCGGAATCTGGGAGATTTGCCGCCCATAGATTGCATCGGTTCCCACCTGCAGAATCTCCACATGGATGGTTGGACATGTTCCCACCGGATGGTGGGGTAAACAAAGAGGCGTTCATCCCGCATCGGTTCCCACCTGCAGAGCCTCACGAGATTCAGAACCCAACTTGGAGTCCCAGCTTCTTCGGGGCAGTCGCTTTGCGCCCTCCCGTTCTTGGCAACGCCAGCTGACAAAGGCATCCATCAGCCCGGACATGGGCTTCTTGACCTTCATGAGGGACATGCTCCTGCCGGTGCTGTTGGGACTTCTTCTGAACACTGCCGCTCTGTGGCTCTACTTCCGAAAATCCTTGGTCTTTCATCAGGAGGCCCGCTGAATCTGGTGTGTGGACGGGGTGTCCCGGTAGAAGGCCTGTTGAAGGCGACCGTGGCCCCCGTTGGAAGGTGCCCCCGAAATCCTGCGACCGAGGTCTTGATAGTTGGTCTGGGTGGCACTGGTTGCACACTTCTCCGAATGCAAGGTGACAGGCGCTGATTCTCCCAATGCATGTGGGTGCGCATTGAAATAGGGAAACCTCCCAGGCAACGACCTCCTGGAAGAAGGGACATAGACCGAGCAAAAGCCCATTGTTTGCAAGGTCCTGTCAGAAGACAAGCCCATATTCGGGGAATGGACCTGAAAGCCTCCGCTGGTCATTTTTGGGTTTCGCGTTTGGGTCCGACCTCTCGTGCAGCTTCTGACAGGAGAGTGCAGATGTGGAGCAACCGATTGGAACGCCGAGCGGAGCTGCCTCGCAGCTGCCTCGCAAAGACCTTTGCTACCGGATGATGTACTTCTTGGCTGTGGCTCTTGTGGTCCCTTCCCTTTAAATTGGACTCCCTTGTCGATTTGAGATGGTGAGACTCTTGAGGATGCCAGTTGGGTCCCTAGGGAAATGACAAAACTCTTCCCCACAGTTTCTTGCCAGAATGGCTGATATCGTTTGCTTTAGTTTGCTTCCCAACGGCATTGAAGGCGACGGTCAAGTTGAGTCAAGGTGTCCTGACAAGAATCATGTGCTCCAATATTTGCCTAGATTACCTCCATAGGCAGCATTTGCCACATGCCAAACTATATAAATCTCATGCATAGGATCTGCACATGTCGCACTTGTCAGGTCCTAGTATGCTTGCTAAGTTGCTTGCTATCCCCCTCTCAGAACTGACCAGAATCCTAGATTGGCAAATCCCTTTTCTGGCCAAACTCATCCAATCATTTCAATAGGGCAGCTGGCTGTTGCTGCTTCACTGCTTAGCTTGATCGTCTAAGACCTAGGACCTATCACCTTTCGCTTGTCCCATCTGTGGTGCCTCACGTCCCCAGAGGTCTTGGCGATGATCGCTGGCTGGATGCTGGACATGAGCACCGATGACGTGGCGCTCGCGGCGGGCGCCACGCTGATGTTCCTGCGCGCGCTGCGCCGACGCCTGGCCCCGCGATGCGGAGACCGCGAGGAAGAGGGTGAAGAGGAAACCGAGACGCAGCCCCTTTGGTACCAAAGGGTCTTGGATGGGGGATAGGCCGAGACATTGGATGAGTAGGAAGATGGTGCTGAAAAGAAGGCAGCTCAAGGTGATGTCGAACTTTTTTTGGGGGAGCCATCTCTTGATGGTCAAGTTTCTCCCCCATCTCCTAGCTCTTTGGGCTTGGAATACCAAACTTATCTTCTCGCTTGTTTGCTTTGGTCTGCCTTTCGGGTTGCCTGGCTCCACTTCTCGATTGCCTTCATATTTAACCGTCCCGTGGTTTCCTTGATAAGGCTCCAGGAATTTACTCAGACGACGTTCTTTTCCTTTCCAGGATGCATGTCTGACACATCCAGCAGGGGGCCCAGCAGGATGTGGCTGGAACCCAAGGATTGCCTATGCTTTACCACTCAAGACCCAGTGCCATAATGAGTCTACGTGCAGGCCATATGGACCTGTCAATCCACTGGGTGTGGCGGAGATCCATTATGATCAAAATATGATCTACCAGCACCTTCAAAGGGGTCACCAATGGAAGCCCCTACACTACTAAGGGACCTCCATTGGACACCCCTTGAAGGTCCAGGTATATAAAATTTGGGAAGTGTACGTCCGACGAATCGTTTGTTCTGAAGCTGAAGCAGGTCCCACGCAGTCAGGGGCTCACCATCTGCAAAACCTTTTCTGGGGATTGGGGGAGCCCCATGTTTCCCCACTCAATCTGAACACATCGAACGTTCGGTGAACCTTTCCTTTTCCGCCAACTCTTCGGCTCGCGGCTCTCGGTCGAACGTAGGTGAAGACGTGGCTCCAGGGCTAAGACACCACCTTCCAAGAGAGGTTGAAGGACCCTATAGACTATCCCATAGGTACCCCAGTAGGGTCCTATAAGGTCACTGAACTTCTCTTGGTTCAGAGGGATCTTACACTTTACACTTGGAAGCACCCCCAAAACTAATCCAGCCGCCGACTCCCACACCGCGTGTGGTGCTCGCGCTCTGCCCGCTCGAGCTCACTTGGCAAGTCTGGTCGTGTAACGGGTTGTGAGTCTGTCTGAGTCCTCCAAGTTGGAATCTACCGAGCTGAAGCGACCAGGGTTAGTTTTACATGCTCCTGTCAGGTATTTCGCTCGGTAGCGGGGGTACATCATATATGATCTAAAGTGGAGGCAACATATCAGATATGCGCGCATTTTTTTTTGCACCCCACCAGGTTCGGATTGGGTGCCATCGACTATTCCATCCTCATCTTGTTCGTGGGCCAGTTCATCTTGGTGGGCGCAACGGTGGACACCGGCCTCCCACAAAGACTCTTCCACTACATTTTAGGACAGGCTCTAGCCAATCCACATAGACGACCGCCCAGAAATATAGAGGAAGGTCATGCATAGGATGGCTGGCCACCCTGTGTAGGACCTTGCGCGACCAATGTGGCTAATGGCCCATTCTGTATCTTGTGGTTTGCCACTGTGGTCCTCTTGCTGTCCAACGTCATCAGCAATGTGCCAGTGATCCTCATGTTGCAGCCTTTGCTTGCTACTCAACCTGCTGGATCTATTGCCCAGATTTGGACCCGTTGGCCCTGATTAAAGTCATATACACTCTGACAAACACATCACATGGAAGAGGAAAAAGGTCCGTTGGGAAGATTGGGAAGACTAATGCCCTTTACTAACAACGCGATGAGTGTATACCCTGCTCCACACACACACACACCCATGATATACTATTGGGACCTGGGGGAAGATACTCCTTTGCACAGCATGTTTGTTGCTCAAGTCACTTGCTATTGAGCCAGGACTGTTTGTGCTTGGGTGGCGACAGTTTCAGGGAACCTTACTTTGCTCGGAAGTGCTGCCAACCTCATCGTTGCTCACATTGCTGAAGGCCATGGAGAGAGAGGTTTTGTCGCCACGACTTACAGCAAGTTCTCTTTGATTCCAACCTGCGTGGTCACTTTTCTGGGTGTCATGCTGATGCCTCCCATGGGGCCGCGTTGGTCCTGGCCCCTTGGTTGCCGAGAGTCCGTTCTCTTGGCCTTGTGTTTGTATTTCAACAGGAGACCTTGCAACCAAAGGCCTGGGAGAGACGATTTCCGGTGTATGATGTATTTCTCTTCAATACCCTTCCAATGTAATGTAGACTCTTGATTCATACACTCCCCCCATTTGGATTGAAAAACCTCTTCATATTGGGGGTGTTTATTCATCAAGACCCTTCCAATGTATTTCAAATGGTTCCCTTCACCGAACCCGGGAGGTTTGGAACGCCGTTCGGTGGTCGTTTCACGCCACCGAACCTGGCTCCATGGATCCTGACCGTCGTTCGAACAGCCGGTGGTGGGACCGGCAGGTCGATCCTTTTGTTTTTTCTCCTGGAACGTTCGAAGAACACGAGGATGGTTGGAGCTGGAGTTGTGGCTTTGCTGGTGATCATGGCTTTCCTCAAAGCCATGCAAATGTGCACAGCCACAAGGAAACCTGCGACTGCTCGAGCCGCACCCTTCTTGTGAGTGATTCCTAGGGCCGGCCAGGATATATATAGCTGGCTTGCAAAGATGGCCTCTCGAATTTCCCGCTGTTTTTAAAAATTAATCTCCTTTGCTGATCCGTTGCTCATTTCCATGATGTTTCCATGTTTCCACAGACAGTTCAGATGCTAGTTGCCCAGCATTGGGGAAGTGGTTGAGTTTGCATGCTGCAACTTAAATTTGTCTTCCAATGTGGCACAGCTTGCGGGCAACATCCAAATTGCTTGCCGGTGCAGCGTCTAGCTGGCTGTGGAAGACAGTCTTTTCACAGAGCACAGGAGCTGCCAGCGCATGTTGGCAGCTTTGCAGCTTTAATGCAGATTCTCTTTCGGACTTGTTGGAGATCCATTTCTTGGATCCTTTGAAGGATCAGAATTTCGATGGACCTCTTCAAGCAGTTTTGGGCCAATCTGCATCTCATGTTCCCTTTCCACCTTGTACAGGCCCCGATGCGGGGCATTGTGGTCAGGTTGACGAAGGCTTCCACTTCTTGGAAAAGACCACTACTGTAGCATTCTCCGGGCTGGTCTGGACTCCAACTTGTGCTCCCGGCACAAAGATACCAAATTTTAAATCGTTAAATCATGTTAAATCAAAAGGTCACCAACTATCTGCCTGTAGGCTACAGATCCCCTTCGTCGCATGTTTCGCGTGTGGGAGGTCCTGGCCTTAAAACTTTAAACTTCATCGTGAGATTCAACACCCGTGTGCTGAAAAGGAGATGTCGACCTCAGCTGCTGCCTTCAGAGAGGAAGCCGAGCAACGACAGAAGGAGATGGAAGGCGAGAGTAGCAGAGACTTGGAGCAACACATTTTGTCCTGGGTTATTTCGCAATGCTTCCCTCATAGCAGTGACAGCCCATCAAAAACCCTGAGCGGTTTCTTGCAAGAATCGTGCCTGTTTGTTGCCCCAAGAGCCCTGTCGAGCCACCTCGAAGCTCTTGATGGACACATGAAAACACTGGAAACCTTCGCTCTCTTCCCCCATCTTCCCCATCTCCATCCGACCGAGGACTTGGGCAGGACGGTCACGGGCTCCGGCCGCCGCTTCCGGAGTTCGACATCGATGGGCGGAGCCTGCAGAAGTTGGAAGTGTTCCATCCGGTTCCATCCACACTTTTCTCGGGCGAGGTGATGTGAAACTCATCCCTTGGAATGTAAGAAACCCAGGAGTCACCTCAAGTCTGGAGAATTTGGTGCTCAAAATTTCACTTGGTAAACTGGCGCCACAAGAATATGCATACATCTGCTACCCCAGGCGTTCTCCAACAACCCAACCACAATTGACCTATCACTGACTGTTGAATGACACAGTTTATCTCCACTATCAACTCCCACAACCTATAGAATACTATAGAAATAGGTTCCTCCAGGTTCCTTGTGATGATTTCCTCCTCAGAGATGCCCTTAGGGCGTGTCTGACCTGCAGAGCCGTCGGTTTGATCCCCGATTTTTGAGCCACTGGGTTCTGGGCGCACGGGATAAACCCTACCACTGTGTGAGGATGTATTTGAGCATTTACCATCGTATACCCAGATATCCGCAAAACATACTGTATATATGAACTATACGGCTACTATACTGTAAAGACATGATATGTTGATATGTTTGAGCATTTGCAATACTGTAAATTCATATGCGTACGTAGATATCTCTACACACTATATTATATACACATGTTCTTTTCACCCTCTGGCCCTTTCAAACATAGGCCGTGGGGCTGTTTCGAGCCACGTTTTTCGCCGGCAGGAGCTTCAGCTGGAGCGCCAGCACCGCAGCTCAGAAGTGGGGTATCTTCAGGAGCAGCTGGGGCAGGCGCGTGTAGATGCTTGGCCAGCAGGTTGGGGAACGGGGGTTGGCATCAGGTCGGGGAAGCTTTTGGGCCAGTTCTAGAGTCTGTTTTGTACACATGAGTAGCTTTGACACGACACTGGGGTGCTTTCCAAGCGGCACCCGCGGGGGAGGCCGCACACCCGGGAGGAGGCCAAGGAAGGAGGCCGAAGGAGGCCGACGTAAGATCTTGGACTGCTTGGCTTGACAAGTCCCTACAGATAGAAGCACGATCAAGCAACCAGACGGGGCACGTACTTCAAACATGATTGTGACAAAGAGAGAAGGAGAGCAATCAGCAATTAGTTGTACACAATCATGGGCCATGGTCCATCATGGTCCAACCTAGTGGTAGACATTAGTATGTTCCCTACCATCAATGTGTTCAGGACTGTCACACATATTGTTTTACGGGTTGCAGACTAAGGCCAAGGAAGCGGAAGAGAGGGAGAAGGAAAGGATCAGCAGCTTGTTGAAGGAGGCCAGGGATCGGTATCCGATGCTGGACAAACCAGTGACAAGCGGCTTCATGTCTCAAGCGGCTTGTTTAGGTTTACTTGGCTGTGGGTGATGGCACGAACCCGTAACCAACCCTGGTAGGTTGACCCTCCCTACTCCCTACGACGACAGTCTATTTTGTTATGAACCGATCGGTGGTCGGTCCCCGCATGTCCCCGCCGTTTGGACTCCATACCCATGGGTACGAAGCAGCCGATGGGTACGAAGCAGTGTTTCAAATTCCTTTAGGTTGAGAAATTCTGTTGGTCTTTTGATCAGCACGAATGGCCCTGCGAGGGTCCTTTGATGTGCTTACAGTACCTGTTTGAATTCATATGTGGAAGTGGAGATCACCACCTGGTTGGTATTCGAAAATGGTCATCCGAGTTAGCTTGGGGCCAAGCCATCCACTTCCATGATTATTTCAGGGAGTAAATTTTTACCGATATCCTCCGGGCTTTTGACGCTTCGAGAGATTTTCTGACCTCACAGATTACGCCACGTGACAGTCGCAGCTTGCGAAAGACACATTTGAAGCTGCAAGCTTGGCCAAGAGCTGCCTGGCTCTGACGTTGAGTTCGGCCGAAGTTGTTGCGATGAAAGGAATGAAACGGACCCCCACCAAGAAGTACCAAAAGAATCCAGAAGACCCACCAAACGAGTTTTTGCAGAGCTCGTCTCTGCCAGACAGATCAAGGTGCATGTCACAGGGGTAACGGCCACCTTTCTTGGGGGGGGGGAGTTCCCCGTGAAAAAGGAGAACTTTCTAAAACTCATGAGAGGGTCGTCTGGGAGCAGAGTAAAAGTCGGTACGTCATGAGAACCCGAACTGCTGCAAGCTGAAAGCCGATCATGTCGCGGTCCGCCTTGGTGGATGGCCGTCGTCGGAGCGGCTGTTGTAGATTGCCTTGGAGAAGCCAGAGATGGGGCGCAGGCGGAACACGCTATTTGTACACGGTATCTCGACACACACACACACATATATATATGGCTCAAGTTCGCATCCCAAACGGCGCGATTTGCTCTCCCCTTCAGTGATCACTCGCATTTCTGTGATGTCGAAGGTCGCTGCGCTCAGCTTCGCCCTCGCCGTCGAGGCCGGTCATGGCTTTGTGGTCCCTGCACGCACCAACGGCCAGGTGACCGCCGAAGCCGCTCCTTTGCAGTCGACGGCAGCTGCGACAGCCCCGGCGATGGGAGACAGCACGATGTACGGCACAGCTATGGTGGCCACTGCAGCTGCGGGAGTCTTGGCAAGGGGCAAGCGTTCAAAGGTGACCAGGAAGGCCTTGCACGGCATCAAGTTCCCATACTCCCTGCAGAAAGACACCCATGCTGACTTGGAATTCCTGAACGATGTGGGCTACTTGCCGGATGGCACGCCCTTGAACAAGGCTGGCAACTGCATCAACCATCCGGAGATCATTATGCCTGATCCACATACTCCTGGTTCTCCATTGCCCAGAGCAGAGTTCACCAACTCAATTGGGTATCTCCCCGACGGGACGCCGATGAATGCTGCTGGAAATGCCCTGAACCACCCTGAGACCATGCAGCCAGACATGCATGTTGCAGGATCGCCCTTGCCAGCTTCAGTGTACTCGGCTGATGTGGGCTACCTGGTGGATGG